AGGCCACTTTACCGCGGTCTCCAGTATAGACTGGGATCGCAATCTCTTTTAGATCACACAACTATCAATAACCAGACAAAGCCTGACCGGGACACAGTGGGTACTATTGACCTTCACTCGTCATTCTGGTTTTATCTTCTATTCAATTCAGTTGTTAGTTAGGGGAATGGATCTTCATGAATGGAAAATTACAATGGTAAATAAGACAACAACAAAAGCATTTAAACTGGTCAAATTATTTCTACATAATGTTTCCAATGTTGGCCCATTTATGTTCTTCCACTTCATAAGAATTGGTTTTGTACAGCGCTTTTTGGACACTCAAAAATGTTTCACATGCCATTATCCATCCACTCCTTCACCGTGGTGATAAACTACTACTGTAGCCACAGCTGCCCTGGGGCACACTGACAGAAGCGAGGCAACCAGTCTGTGCCATGGGCCCCTCCGACCACCACCAACCATTCACACACACACACCAGACTCCTTCTGGGCAAAGTGGGTAAAGTGTCTTGCCTATTGACACAACAGCAGTTTGGCACTTCAGCTGCAGCCACCAAACTGTGGCCCCTGGTGTTCCCAGAGGTCTCCCATCACAGCACTGACAAGGCACTGCCCTGCGCAGCTTCAGAGGTGTGATAGAATCTGGCTTTTACATGCTAGTTTGGCCACATTCAATACATGTAACAGAGGCAGAAGCCAATGCAGAGACATTCCTCATCCAGGTCTCCTGGGTCTTTCCCAGGGAACTGCTCCCAATGGGACATATCCCAGAACTCACTGACTCTATTCTGAGAGAATGTGGCATTTCAGTGCAGAGAAATAAAACCAAGGATAAATAATGTATGTTTATTATAGTTAACATAAACGTTCAGACAACACAAACACTAAGTCCACATGCTACACCTGTTTCCAGCCATTTGAACCCATTATTCAAAAACCAGTGAACGCATATGTACATGAACAGCCATAGCTTATTCCCCAGCATCAATGCCAAGTCACAGCGAAACTATAGAATATAAATTGTAAAAATGACAGCATTGAGGACTGATGCTGGTGGGCTCTTGGGGGCCACTCACCACTAGAAATGTATCAAATCTTGTACCTCATTCTACACATGATGTTCAATTGAAGTTTAAAGGAGACATTAACCTTTAACTGCTAATGTAGGCCTCTGAATAAAGGCTTATTTCAAACACTGTATAAGCTCAATATTGATCTATAACAATGTAAATGCACCAAATGGCTCAAACATGTAATATTCAACCGAACAGCTGGTTTAACAAAAGTCAAACATATGTTCAATTCAAACATTGAAGAATTCTTAATAAAATCTCCAGCAGAAAGAACAAAATAATTGCATTTATCAAACCTTTTCAACTTAAAGGCCCTGTACCCAATTAGGTCACATCAAAAGCACCGCAAGCTCCGCTCATACTGCAGATAAAGTTAGCTGCTGGCGTGGGGTAGTGGTCAGACGATGGGGCCATGGCCTAAAGGGAAAGTGAATATCAATTAAACTATCAATTTCTCTAAATACATCTGTGTGTAAATGACAAGGGGTCAGAGCTGTGAAATGTCTTTAGAAAAAGATGAAACGCCCAGTTTGCTTTCCGCTGGATTTATTTAGGCGTTCCTTGCTGATGTAGAAAGGTCCAAGGACAGTGACAATCTGGGAATTTAATAACATTTATGGACAGTGGTCATTCCGCTCTCTTTGGACAAGTGGCACCTACTTGTTTGTTATTATTGCATTTCCTACTGTTGAACTGTTTGATTCTCTGATCTGTTGATGGTGAATGTACAACATTGCAAAGACCTCCGAGGCGACTGCTGTTGTCATTTAGAGCGATACAAAAATTAATTGTATTGAATAGAAACAAATTGGGTGCAGGATCTTTACCACACAAAACACATTCTGGCACAGGGCTCTGTGCACGGAGTGAACAACCTTGTTATCAAATCTTCATCAATATGAATATAACTCGACAAACCAAATTAATATACAAGTTGGTAGAGCATTGGCCTTTGGGCCTGTAGGTCGTGGGTTCAAGCCCACTGCTCCCACAAAGGTCTACTGTTATTGTGTCCTTGGGTAAGACACTAAACCCCACCTGAAGCCCCCGCTGAAAGACAAAGGCTGTTTCACCTCTGACTGAGCAGCCATCTTCCTGTGGACCCACCCCCTGCAGAGGATCTGAGAGACTGGTGCTATGAGAAATGGGTGGCAGCTCTCATTGCCACCCCCCGATCCAGAAATGGACTAATAAAGGGGTTGAAAATGAATGAATGAATGAACATTAGGTATTTATAATACTGATGTAGACATTGTTTATCAATTGAATGGATCTTAGTGTTATATGTTATGTTTTATAACGGACAAGGAGGAAGTAGCTGTAGCAATGAGCATAAGTTTAACAAATGAACTTGTCCAAACTTAATGAACGTTTACGTTTTTCCTCACTCTCAAAACAGTTTTGTGGGACCCTTTGGACGTTGATGACGCTGACAGTTGAGTTTGTTAGGATGATGTTATGAAATGATCATAGTATTTGACAAGCCGTTTTCGGAGGCCCCTGTTTTTCTGTTTGGACATAATTTATTATATACATGTTTGGTACCCCAGCTTTCACCTGGTTTACAGTATATTGTGAAGTTATTTTCTAGCACAGCCTCCAATGTAACATCATGGGAATGGGTCGTAAGCCGGCTGTTGGGGTTGTGGGGGGGGATTAAGCAGCACCACGTGCACAGAACCCATTGCTGATTTCAACTATGAACTACACAAAACAAAATAAAAGTATACAAAGTTCTATTTATAATTTAAAAAATATACATTTTGTAGAGTTGCATATCAGTCCTTAATCCGTAATAAGCACTTAAAACCAGGTGTTCAGGGTCCAGATTCTTCCGTGGGTGTGCAGGGCCGGGCTGTCTGTGACTCTGTCTGGGCTGTGTGGCGGGTGATGGTGGTGTGGCTCTGCAGGGTGACATGGCCCTCAGGACACTCCACTGCTCCCAACTTTTCTGTGAACATGTGCTGGGAGTGGCTTCGTACACTTGTGTCACCTTCATTCCCCCAGCTCTGGGTAGAGATGCCAGATGTGTTGTGCTCTTCAAACATGTACTGGGTGGTAGTAACGCCTTCACCATGGAAGCAGAAGGAGCCTTGGATGTCCCCATGGCCTCCCACCTCACCCCTGCGCTCGGCACGAGGAGAGCCTTCAGGGGTGATCTGCAAGAATCCTGTGGAAGAACAACCGAGTCAGACACAATAGTAGCTTTTCCTCAAAAAGTTTTTTACATCATGTTTTTACATAAGATGTATGATTTTTTTAAACATGATGTAACATGTGTAAAACACAGGATGCAGAGAGTGAGTCTCTCATTTGGGTTCGCAGTGTATTTGGTGAAATCCAGTGTCTAATCTCTACCTAAACCCCAGCCTTTGCAGCACATCATCCATCCATTTTCTTCCGCTTTATCCGTTGCCGGGTCGCCGGGGCAGCATTCTAAGCAGAGACGCCCAGACTTCCCTCTCACACACTTCCTCCAGCTCGTCCGGGGGGACCCCAAGGCGTTCCCAGGCCAGCTGAGAGACATAGTCCCTCCAGCGTGTCCTGGGTCTTCCCCAGGGCCTCCTCCCGGTGGGACGTGCCCGGAACACCTCCCCAGGGAGGCGTCCAGGAGGCACCCGGAACAGAGCCCGAGCCACATCAACTGGTTCCTCTCGACGTGAAGGAGCAGCGGCTCTACTCCGAGCTCCTCCCGTGTGACCGAGCTCCTCACCCTATCTCTAAGGGAGCAGCCACTCTGCGGAGGAAGCTCATTTCGACCGCTTGTATCCGTGATCTCGTTCTTTCGGTCATTACCCAAAGCTCATGACCATAGGTGAGGGAGGGAACGAAGATTGACCGGTAAATCGAAAGCTTTGCCTTTCGGCTCAGCTCCCTCTTTACCACAACGGTCCGATACAGCTCTGACTGCAGACGCTGCTCCCTCTTTACCACAACGGTCCGATACAGCGACCGCATCACTGCGCACGCTGCACCAATCCGCCTGTCAATCTCACGCTCCATTCTTCCCTCACTCGTGAACAAGACCCCGAGATACTTGAACTCCTCCACTTGAGGAAGGACCTCTCCACCCACCTGCAGAGGGCAAGGCACCTTTTTCAGGTCGAGCACCATGGCCTCGGATTTGGAGGTGCTGATTCTCATCCCAGCCGCTTCACACTCGGCTGCAAACCGTCCCAGTGCATGCTGCAGGTCCTGGTTCGTTGGAGCCAACAGGACGACATCATCCGCAAACAGCAGAGATGAAATCCTGTGGTCCCCAAACCGGACCCCCTCCGGCCCCTGGCTGCGCCTAGAAATTCTGTCCATAAATACAGTGAACAGAACCGGTGACAAAGGGCAGCCCTGTCGGAGGCCAACATTCACCGGGAACAGGTCTGACTTACTGCTGATGTGAACACAGCTCTGACTCCGGTCATACAGGGATCGGACGGCCCTCAGCAGAGGACCCCCGACCCCGTACTCCCGGAGAACCCCCCAAAGGACACCTCAGGGAACACGGTCGAACGCCTTCTCCAAATCCACAAAGCACATGTGGACAGGTTGGGCGAACTCCCATGAACCCTCGAGTATCCGATGGAGAGTGTAGACCTGGTCCAGTGTTCCACGGCCGGGACGAAAACCACACTGCTCCTCCTGGATCCGAGATTCGACCATCGGCCGTAGCCTCCTCTCCAGTACCTTGGAGTAAACCTTACCGGGAAGGCTGAGGAGTGTGATCCCACGATAATCCCACGATAATCCCACGATAATTGGAACACACCCTCCGGTCCCCCAAACCTGACATCTTCCGGGTTGCAGGACGTAAACAGAGCTCCCGTGGCTTCTACTTAACTTTTTAAGTTTTTGCGTCTTTTTACTACCTTTCCTGAAGAAGATCAACGATCAAAGAGAAAACTATCAAGTTCGACATTAGTAAAGAGGATTATTGCTCCCAGCAAGGTGTTTGTTTTTGTTTTGTTTTTTTTCCGCGGACCCACGGAGGCTAAGCTCGCCGCTCGCCAACAGTGGATCCGCGAGGGAGAACCCAAAACACAGACTGACGCCGGAGGGACAAGAGATCTCATTACTAATCCAGCACCATGACTGCCAAAGAGGTAAAGAAGGACATTGAAGAACTAAAAGCCTCAATGAACATGATGGGTGAGCAATTGAACATTATTGCTGAACAACAAGGGACTATTGTGGGCTTAGTGAAGGAAATTCACGAGCTAAAAAAGCTCAGCCAGGAGCAACAAAACAAAATCAACTTTCTGGAGTCACGAGTGGCAGACTTGGAACAATATACGCGAATGAACGATGTAATTATTACTGGTCTGCCTCTCAAACCACCATCATATGCTCACGCGCTGAAGGGGGCGCAGAAAGAAGAAAACGAGGAGCAAAATGCTTCAATAGAAGCCCAGGTGACTAGATATCTTCAGAATAAGGACATTTATGTAAATAGAGATGGTATTGAAGCATGTCACACTCTGCGGTCTCAAAATCCTAACGTAAAGTCAGTTGTTATTGTAAGATTTGTAAATAGAAAGGACAAAAGGGAATTACTGAGCCAAGGAAGAAATCTAAAGGGAACAAACGTATATATAAATGAACATCTCACAAAAGCAAACGCCGAAATAGCTAAAAAAGCAAGGTTTCTTAAAAAACAAGGTAAAATCATGGCTACATGGACCTCTAACTGTAAAGTCTATATTAAGACAAACGGCACACCAGAGGAGGCCAGAGTTATTTACATCAGAAGAGCTGAGCAGCTAGAAAGATTGTGTGATTGAAGTTTCTTTGTTATTTTCTTCTTGTTATGAGTAATGATTAAACTAACACCTAGCTTTCATAGATTTGGAATTCACGAACACAACATGGAACAAGACAAAATTTATGATATTGATATAAATATAGAGCAACATGTATTTAACATAAAAAATACTTGTGAATACTACAATGAGGACGTGGTTAATCAGAAAATAACAGACAAAACTTTGTCCATTATTCATGTAAACAGTCGCAGCATGTACAATAAACTTTCTAAAATCAAGGACTATTTAAGTGAGTTTAAAAATGAATTTAGTATTATTGCTGTAACCGAAACTTGGTTTAAAGAGGGAATTATGGCTGAGGTTCTGATGGAAGGGTATGAACTTTTTTCAATAAATAGGAAATTAAAGAGAGGGGGAGGAGTTGCATTGTTTGTAAAATCAAATTTGAAATGTAAGACTGTTAATGAAATGACTTTAATAGAAGATGAAATTGAAATGATTACATTAGAAATTATACCCAAGTCAGGAAAAAATGTAATAATTAGTTGCATTTATAGACCACCAGAGAGCAGTGTCGAAGTTTTTACTGACAAAATAATTGAAAAAATAGAAATAGCTAAAAACAAGAGACAAATTATATGTGGAGATTTTAATATCAATTTAGGAAACCCAAGTGAACAAATAGCAAGTGACTTCTTGAACTCAATGAATACCATGTGCCTCTTTCCTTTAATATCAAAACCTACAAGGATAACATCTCAAAGTGCCACAGTAATAGATCATATTTTTACCAATATGAATGAAGATCATATTATGAGTGGAATTTTGACAACAGATATTAGCGATCACCTACCAATATTTGCAATATTTAAACACAATCAGAACACAAAACCAACCAGTTTTGAAAAGACTGTAAGAAGAAACAGGTCGGAAAAAGCCCTAGAGGCACTAAACAGAGATCTTAGACATCAGAAGTGGGATGCGGTCTATGTAAATGATGTCAATATAGCATATAACGCCTTCATAGAAACAATAAGTACATTGTATGATAAAAATTGCAAAATCATATATTTAAAAAACAAAAGGGAAGATCAACCATGGATGACGAAAGGGTTAAAGAATGCTTGTAAAAAGAAAAACTTTCTATACAAATGTTTTATTAAAACTCCATCGAAAGAGACAGAAAACAGGTATAAGAAGTATAAAAACAAATTAATCTGGATCATCAGAAACCGAAAGAAACAATATTACAGTGATAAACTAAATGAGAACAAGAGTAACACACAAGCTACTTGGAGAATATTAAATAATGTAATGAAAAACAACAAAATTAAACATGTGTACCCAAATTATTTTGTAAAGGACAGTCTTGAAATATCCAACGAAATAAACATATCAAATGAATTTTGTAAATACTTTACTAGTATAGGAGACTCGATAGCAAAACAAATTCCAAAGCCAACCTCTAGCACTGAAAACACAATAGTAGATCATGTGAACAGTATTTTTCTTTCCAATGTAGAACAAGACGAAGTACGAAAAATTGTAAATGAATGTGAAAACAAAAGATCAACCGACTATGATGGTTTAGACATGATGATTGTTAAAATCATTTTTGAATCTGTAATTGAGCCTTTTACACACATTTGCAACTTGTCACTAAAAACAGGAACCTTTCCTGATGGTATGAAAACAGCCAAAATAATACCTCTTTACAAAAACGGGGACAAGCACCACTTTTCAAATTATAGACCAGTGTCCTTGCTGCCACAGTTTTCAAAAATCTTGGAAAAAGTATTTGCAATAAGGCTGGATAGCTTTTTACAAAAAGAAAATATATTAATTAAAAATCAATATGGCTTTAGAAAAAAACACTCAACTGCAATGGCAATAATGGAACTGACGGAGAAAATAGCAAGAGAAATAGATCAAAAAAATTATATAGTAAGTATCTTTTTAGACCTGCAAAAGGCTTTTGATGTAATTAACCACCCCAGATTATTATGGAAACTCCAGAAGTATGGAATCAGAGGCATTGCTCAAAAATGGATCTCCAGTTATCTTGAAAATCGCAAACAGTTTGTCCAAATAAACAGTACGTATTCAGAACCATGCGATATCAGTTGGGGGGTGCCGCAAGGCTCAATACTAGGACCAATTTTGTTTATATTATACATGAATGATTTTCCAAAAGCATCAACTGTATTACAAAGCATCTTATTCGCTGATGACACTACATTATTTTACTCTGGAAATAATATAGGAGAGTTAGAAATAGTAATAAACAAAGAACTTGCAAAAATAAAAAGCTGGCTAGATCAAAATAAATTGGCGCTAAACATTAAAAAAACCAATTACATGATATTCAATGATAAAAAGAAAAATCTTGGAAATAGTATATCCATAACAATAGACGGCCTGGAAATCCAAAGGGTAAAGGAAACAACATTTTTGGGAGTCATCATTGACGAGGACCTAAACTGGAAATCTCACATACACTGTACAAAAGGAAAATTAGCCAAATCAATTGGTGTGTTACATAAAGTGAAATACTTTCTTACCCACACAGCATTAATTACCTTATATAATACAATGATTATACCATATCTAACCTATTGTGTCGAAATTTGGGGGACAACTTTTAAAACATATACACAGCCAATATTTATTTTACAAAAAAGAGCCCTAAAAATAGTGAATAACAAAAGATATCGAGACTCATCAAATCCTGTTTTTTTAGAGTGTAAGGTGTTAAAATTTTATGATATAGTGGATTATAATATTTTTCAGATATTGTATAAAGCAAATTGCAAATCATTACCCGCAAACATTCAAGAGAACTTTGAAAAAAGACAAAGTCAGTACAATCTGAAAGGAACTGATATCTTTAAAAAACCTAGATTCAGAACAAAAGTCATGGAAAGAACAGTCTCAGTGAAAGGAATCAACTTGTGGAACGCACTTAACAAAGACATTAAAGAGTCAAAAAACATAATAGTTTTTAAGAAACAAATCAAAACTACTATATTCAGGACATATGAGAGTGTTACATGAGAATAAAATCTGGATTTAAATTGATGGTTTGTTTTTGAAGAAATGGAAAGTAAGGTGTGATACATAAAGTGTAAGGTAAAGTGTAAGGTAAAGTATTAAGGTATGTATTATGTAATATATGTGTAAATAATGTAATTTGTTTAAACTGTAAAAGGGATGTGTAAAAATCATTTGGAGCAGTTAAAAGATGCAATGGTAACCATGAAGGTAGTGCAGGAAAACAAAGTGTTGTGATTGCCATTACTACACTCGCAAATATTAGTTGAAAATGGGAAATTACATTTTCCTATAATCGATAACATAAACATTGTGTGATGTAATGGAAGGCAAAAGGACATCTATAATATGTTTAAAAAATACAGATGATTCAATGCATTGTTTGTGAAAATATTCTTTGTCTATTGCCAAACCTGAGTTTTGTAGAGTTTGGAGGAATTCCATTGATATTCAAGGGTGCCACCAAACATTAATAATTATCATTCACCGCACACATCAATAGCATCAATAGCATCACCCGCATCGCCTACTTCCATCTCAGAGGTATCCGCCGACTCCGCCCCTCTCTCTCCCCTCACACCACTGTCATACTCCTGACTCCGCCCCTCTCTCCCCTCACACCACTGTCATACTCCTGACTCCGCCCCTCTCTCCCCTCACACCACTGTCATACTCCTGACTCCCCCCCTCTCTCTCCTCACACCACTGTCATACTCCTGACTCCGCCCCTCTCTCCCCTCACACCACTGTCATACTCCTGACTCCCCCCCTCTCTCTCCTCACACCACTGTCATACTCCTGACTCCCCCCCTCTCTCTCCTCACACCACTGTCATACTCCTGACTCCGCCCCTCTCTCTCCCCTCACACCACTGTCATACTCCTGACTCCGCCCCTCTCTCTCTCCTCACACCACTGTCATACTCCTGACTCCGCCCCTCTCTCCCCTCACACCACTGTCATACTCCTGACTCCCCCCT